CATTATTTTTTAGACATTTCTTACATCTCTATCTATTATTGTACATCTTCTTTTTTGCCTTTTTGTTTTCTCTATTTCCACATGTTTTTATTAGAAAATTTTTTTCTCAAAACACAAAGGGCACAAGTTCTTAGTATTATTCTTTTAGTACTTTTCCAATTGTCTTTACTTTATTTCTTCAATTATTTTTCCTCTAACTCTATCCATCAACTTCTCACTCATCAATTTATCACCCAACATTCACCTTCTCTTTATCTCTCTAGATCAGTATTTTATTATTCTGTCTCCTTTATCCTCACTTTCTATTGTTCTTTTTATTGTTCCTTACATCTCTAGATATTATTATATATTTCTTTTTTCACCTTAATTTTTCTCTCTCAAATGTTGTCTAATATTAAAAATGTTTAAGTCAAAATATAACAAATACAGCTTATTAGCATTTTTCTCTTGATATTTTGTCATTTTCCTTTCTCCTATCTCTCATTAACTTTTTGTAGTGACTCCATCTCTTTTATTTTTTATTTACCTTTACGTTGGTCAAAGCAACGCTTCTACTCTTTTAAATTAAAATTATCTTAAAATATTGCCATCATAATCCTCCTTTTAGTTCTCTTTTTTTTTGTTTTATTTTTCTCTTTCTAATAAGAGAAATATAATATTAACAGTTCAACAAAAGTTTCAACAAACCATCAATATGAAAGTTACCAACTTAATTTCCTTATAGTACTTGCTAAGTTGAATTCTTGTACACAATATATGATGCAAATTAGCCTTGATTTATTAATATTTGAATGAGTTAACATGATTTTACTCAATTTTATATTATTTCCATTATTTGTGTAGGATCGGACTTAACTTTTAAAATCATAAATTTAGAATTAAATCATAATGTTTCATAAAGTTAAAGGATCAATGAACTGGTAAGATTGAGGACCAAATTGTAGAATTAGGAAATTTAAGATGTAAAGTGAAAACAAATCTAGACAGTTGAGGACCAACAATGTAGTTTTACCATAAGAAAAAAGATAGGGACCTATTTCAAATCAGTGTGAGGGTGTCGGCCCATTTTTTCCTTTTATTTATTATTTGTCTATTTATAACAAGAAATAAATTGTAACCCTGGTGCCTTATAATTGGAAAGATAATAAA